ACTTCTGGACTCCAGAACTGTGAGAGAATAAATTTCTGTTGTTTTAAGCCAACTTCGTGATAATTTGTTACAGCAGCCACAGGAAAGTAATACAGGGTCTAATCCAACACTCCAAAAATTAGAAACATTCAGATCAATCATTTTAACTACATACTCGCTTACAACAAAGAAGCTGTCTGTGATTCTGAGGGAAAGGAAAAACTGTAAACAGAAAATACCACACAAGATTCATTTGTTCAGCCTAGTGGAGTAGCTGGGCAGAATTTCCAATCATGTAACCATATTGTGATATAAAGGGACAGCAATAATTTTAAAATAGATAGGTTTGAAGAGGGCAACACAGAAGTTACAGAGCAAGGAAAGTGACCTGGTCATTCAGGCAATCGTGCCTGCTTAGAGACTACCAGCTGTCAGCCATTAGAAGAAGGGGTCTATATGCCATGCGGAAAAAGGGGCAAAGGAAACGGTAATGCTAACAATACCTATCAAATGCACAGCTATCAAAGCATATCCACATGCGTAATAATAGCAGCCACTCATTGAGTACTATGTGCTGTGTGCTTTACATTCATTATCTCATTTAATCCATGCAGAACTATTAAGATAGGTATTATAATAGCTATTGCACAAATGGTGAACAAGCTAAGGAACAGGCCACAGTGGCAGAACCAGGATTTAGAACCAAGGTTTGTTTGCCTCCAAAACCAACCCTCTTTCTGTTGTACTATCCTGTTTTACTGCACCATTAATCCTCACAGAGGCTCTATAAAGTGGACTGTGAGCTCCATGAAGATAGGCACTGAGTACCTGTCTTGTTCACCACTGGTGATCAATAAATATTCGTTAAATGAATGAATGGAACAGATGAGGCCTAGAGAGATAAAGTAATTTATCCAAGATCACACAGCCATTATTTGACAGGGCCAGGTTCTCTGATTCCAAATCCTATAGACTGATTAAGATCCTGTAGCATACTGAGCTAGGTGTGTATCTTGGGCAGGGACTGCGGGGAGAGATATAGGACAAACAAGTGAAATGACAGAAGAATTTAAAAAAAACAAATGCTGAGATCCTACATGAGTCAGGTAAATCTAAAGACTGTGCCTGGCAAAGGTAAATTTAGAGCAGTCAGGAAGAAGATGGTGAAATATCTGAATTGAAGATGATGCAGTAAAGCATTGCTGGATTGAGGACTGGTCTGGGCAACGACTAAAGTAAATTATATTCAGGGGAATAGAGCCAGCCCCCAAATACCATGCCATCAGTCACAAAGGTATGTGGACATATGCCAATGGCAGCTTTACCTATTAATTGAAGCAGAATAAGTGATTCCATGTGGTGAAGGACTTCTGAGCCAAATCAGCAGAGATTCCGCTTGCCTGAAGCTAAAATATCTGCCAAACTTTCCCAAAGTACTGGCTGGACACCCAGACTGGAAATGAGAAACTCAAGAATAATGAGAAGGACTGTGGTGGGAGGTAGGGAGGTTGGAGGGGAGAATTGCTGGAGAGTCTGAATCCTGACTGATTGCTGTTGGTCAGTACAATCCCCTTGTTCCCTCATCCTTTCTAAGGAAATGAAAAAGGTTTTACAGGATGCTCAGTTTAGACAAGAGCCTCTCCAGGTAACCCAGAGAAGAAAACTGTCACTCCTCTACAATTTTAATAAACACCTATAAGTTTCTAAGAAGGCGGCTTCAGATTTAGGGCGCCCACTCCTGGCTACTCCTATGCCCAGAGGCAAAGACCTTCCCTTGGTCTCGACTTAAAAGAGACCTGAAGCAACAGGACAATAGCTAATGGCAATTCCATTACATTGCTCTATGAAGTCTAGGAATTAAACTAGAAAAACAATTATATTCCCTCATGATGAATTTCAGGATCATGTGCATTTGCATTCCCAGCACCTAGCAGAGTGACTGCCCCGTGGTAGGAGTTCAAAATGCTGAAGAACAAAGGGAAACTGATGGGAAATGTATCATTGCACATATAAAGCAAAATGGATCTAAAAATCTGTTTTCATAGGCACCATTGGTTTTACACTGTTAGGATTTAACAATGAGAGAAAATGATGTGTTCTTCCCAAAGAAATATGAACCAATAAATTTGAGAGAATACTTGTCATTTTTTAAAGTACCCATTATGTGTCAGGTGCAATATCTCATTTAGTCCACATCATAATTCTTGAGGAAACTGAAGCTCAGCGAGGTTAAATTGCTTCCACAGAGACACAGCTGGCAAGTGACAGAGATTTAATCTGGGATTTAATCCAGACTAGTCTTACTCCAAAGCCTGTGTGTATGCTCTTTTCACTGCATTTTCTCAGGGAGGAAAAAAAAAAAAAGTCATTACTATCTACAGAGAAAGCCCCACAACCTTTCTCTGTATTAATGTTAAACTAGAAAATTAAAGATAGTCACTTCCAGGTCAGGCAGGACCTAGCCAAGCAGAGAGAAGTGATGTCTCAGAAATTCCAGACCTGAATGCTGTATCCCACACCGCTCACTATATATTTCTTGTTACACTATAAATCTGGAACTCAAACTCAGGAAATTCTGCACTGGTTAAACAAAAACAACGAAGAAAATTCTCACATCCCCCTTTTCAGAAACCCTGGAAATTAGACATCTTTAAGATGAAGATTTCTAATGGAAATAGGGTTTCTGCCTGGCTCATTTCCACTGAATTTAACATTGAGAGAGCCAAGGCCTGGGATTTATCCTCAGTTCCTGGGCAAGGGCCAGGAAAACAGAGCCAGCCAGACAGAGAGGCTGGAGTTGTGAGGTTCCATACTTAAAAAGACACCAAAGAGGTATTAAGTCACAGGAAGCTGGTGTGGGCTCAATGGTATGGGTCCAGATTTAAAGGCACAATTGTAGCGAACTTGTGAAAGCACTGCCTAATTCCCCAGCAAATCTGAAGTTGCATTGGAAATCTCAGAGTGACATAAGTAAGAAAAGAATTTAAAAGTCAAGGTTAAGGAGATGGAGTAAATTAGCAGGGAGCCCAGGAATTGCTGAGATCACAGAAGAAAGATTGAGAGGATATGGATGAGAAATGTCTTGGATCTGAGATAAAGGATAGGATCCCACACAACGGGGACTAAAGGCAGAGAGATGTTAAGGCATTAAGCTACAGGAGGAATTCCATTTCTAAAGGAGAAAAGGTTGGATAGAAAAGAGGGTTATACCTGTAAAAAGGGGTCCCTGGAGAACATAGTAGTAATTCAATAAAGGGGAGGGGTGGGAGGCTTAAACGTGTGTATGAATGTGTGCGTCTGTGCGTGTGCGAGTCTGTGTGTGTGTGTGTGTGTGTGTAGCCCAGAAGGAAACTCCCCAAAAGGAAATGCATGTGAAGGCTCTGCGCCAGGAAAAGCGATCCAAAGGACTGTGGGAGCAAAGCTCCCTTACAGAGAGGGTGTCCCACAGGAGGCCAGACCCCGCAGACTCACCTCGGCCATAGCCCTGCGTGTGTTTGGCGAAGCTCCTCACCACGGCCTCCACGGCCTCCCGCAGCACTGCGGGGCTGCCGGCGGCGCCGGGGGGCAGCGGCAGCCCGGCGGCCCCAGACAGGAGCAGAGGCGGCGGGGGCGGTGCGGGGGGCGGCGGGGCCGGCGGGGGGCCCGCCTGGGGTGTGGCGGTGGCTGCAGCGGCCCCAGTCACTCCGGGCCGAAGCGCTCGCAGAGTGCCCCTCCCGCTGGTGCCCACTCCAGGCTGCAGCCGCTGCGCTCGCAACGTCTCCATCCCGGCCGCCAGTGGAGTAGCGGTCCAGAGCCTGCCAGCCTGGCGAGCTAACGGTCCCAGCCTCCCCCGCCAGCGAGCGCCCAGGGACTGAAGGAGGTGCCGGAGCCCAGCCGTCAGTCAAGCGGGGGCGGGGGTGAGCCAGGTCCTATGCCAATCACCAGAGAGGGGGCGGGAGCTGGCCGGCTGCCGCTCCGCCATAGGCAAATTACTGAGGAGGGCGGAGGTTCTGAGCAACCAATTACAAAGAGAAAAAGCGATATCCTCTATACTGGAGAGGCTTAGCTTGGGCGCGTCTTTGGGAGTCCTGTGGGGAGTACTAGAAAGCGGGCCAGACCCCAGGGCCGAGGCTAGAGGCAAAAAAAAAAAAAAAAGGCCTGGATGCATGGCTGGGGAGAACTGTAGACAGAGTGAGAGGATTCTTAGAGAGCCTTTGTCCGACCACTTCATTTTACAGATGTAGATGAGGAAACTGGCTCAGAGAAGTGACGTGACTTGTCCAAGATTACATGCAATTGGTGGTGGAGCTAAAGCAAGGAAAGATACTGGCATTTAATGAGCATATACTTACTGTTTGTCAGACACTATACAATGTACTTTCGTGCACTGTCATTAATAGTCACAATCACTAACTAGACTTTATTATTTTACGGATAAAGAAGCTGACAGAGAGGCTAGATAAATTGTCCAAAATTAAATAGCCAGAAGATGGCAAAGGAGGGTTCAGACATAGATCTTCTGATCCCCAATATTTTAATCTTTTCGTTAAACCACATCGTTGGGGCATTTTCTGATTTCACCTATTCTAGGTTGAGGGAGGGAGTAAGGAAGAGTAGAATGGGTTGCTCCCATACCTCTCATTAGAGCAAGGGAGAGTTAGATTATAGGAAGAAAACCAGCAAGCTGAAAGGTCCAGGGGGACAGATTAAGACAGGTACCTTCGTTCACAGGTACCTGTCAGGCTGGGTTCCTCCAATTACTCTTACATGCACACGTGCACGTGCACGCGTGCGCGCGCGCACACACACACACACACACACACCCTGTTTGTCAGTTGACTATCATACCATTTTTACCTAGGCGAGATTACACGATTCCTCTCTCACTCTCTCTCTCCACCCTACGGTGGCTCAGAACTCAAGGATGCGGAAACAGAAAACAGAAGCAAGAAGTAGAAGAAAATGAAATGCACCTGGTGAGATAAAAGTTAGGCCCCCAAGGAAAAACTGTGAGTGGTCAAGACATAGGAAGCTTGAAAGAGGGACAGTTAATCTATTGGGATATATCTGCTGATGGTGGAGGGAGGGATTCTTTGTAGGAATCTTAAGTTAAAGAATTTGAGGATGGACATAGGGGAGACTGAGGGAAATGAAAACCTATCAGATGGCATAAAACCTTCAGGACATGGGACACTTGCCTTTTCTTCTACAACCACAGTTGGTCTCCTGGAAAGAAGGTGGCTGGAACCTCGAAGTATCCCCTAGATCGTTATAGCTATAGTTAGCATCACCCTCCCTCCCTATTCCTCATTCCCCACACCCTCCACCCCCAGCAGAAGTGACCAAACAGAGACTTCTGAACACATTTATTTGATATGTCGAGTGGAGAGAGGAGTGATTTAGGGTTACTCCCCACTTCTACCTGTGGGGGTGTTCATAAGCTCAGACAGACAGAACAGCAGCTTAGAGCCCATGACCCACCTCCTGGAAAAATGAGACAACCTGTTGTATTGGTTGGGGGAACAGGATGGGAAGAAAAAGCAGAAAGCTGAGAAGTAAAGCTGAGAGCAGGAAGGGCAGCAGCAGAACTGAGGCTGGGGATTGCTGCAGCAAATTCCCAAGGAGAGTGAAGAAGATATCCTGAAAAGTGGTTAGGGCTGGAAGCAGGGTGTGAACAAGGAGCCAAGCCTGGAGAGAGAAGCAAGACCTGTAGAATGGGGTGGGATATTCACGAAGAGGGTAGAGTGTCCAAAATCATGAGTGGGCTGTGTTGCAGGGCATACATGGAAAGCAAGGGGTTACTATTGCAGGAGGTCAAAGAGATTGGATACTACTCATAAGTAGGGGCTCCCTAACGCCTCTGAACAAATGCAAGTGAGCTTGGGACCCTTTTGGGGCCCTAGCACAAATGGTCCGGTGTGTGAGTAATTCCCATGTGCATGTGAAGTGGCCAGGGCATGAGTGCATGTGTCTATATGACCAATAAATAAGAGTACTTACCCTTCCCTGCAAGTGCAAGTACTGTGCTTGTAGACACGTTTACCCATGTGTGCGTGCGCCGAGCCCATGAGCACATGCAACAGACCCCTATGTCCGAGGTGTGTGTGTGAGCTGGTTCTTCCACCCTTCCCAAGGTCTTGATCCCCACCCTCCTTGGTTCCTCTCACTCCTCTCAGCGCCCAGGCTCCCCTGGCCCGCCTAGACTCTGGAAGCCCCCTAGCAGGCGGATCTGCTCAGTCTGCATGGAGTGGCGCCTCACCAACTTGCGCTTGGTCCTGGGAGAGCCTGGCGCCCCCGCCTGGGGAGGGGCGGGCAGCGAAGGCGCCCGACCTCCGGGTTGGGGGCGAATGTCAGGGATGGGAGGGTGGGGGCTGACATTGAGCGGGGGCAGGAAACCAGGCCGTGTTTGCGCGATGTGGTCCAGAAGCAACGTCCCCGAGCCCCTCCGCTCCAGCAACCCTGGACTCCGCCTCCGCCCGCTCAACGGAGACACAGCCCCAGGCAGACTCTCCTGGGACTGGCGCGGGGAGGGAACAGAGCCGGCTGGAGGGAGGGTCACCGGGGAGGCGCTGTATCTGCGGCGCTCCAGGGACGGGCGGCTGCACTCCGGCGAGTCGGGGCAAAGATTTCCGGGGATATCGAGCTCCACCGGCTCCATGCGGCTCAGTTTCTGCCTCAGCCCTGAAGGGGGACCAGGCTCCTGAGCTTCTGGCGCTGTGTTTCGGCGCGAGAGAGGACCCCCACCCGTCATTTTCTCCGCCCACGGGGGCGGGTCCTCTGGGCCTTCAGTGCTGTGACGTCTGGAAAGACGCGGTCGACCTGTCAGGGTCAGGCCGTTGAATTCGGTGGTCAGGCGCTCAATCCCCGGCCTCACTTCGGCAGGAGGGACCGGCTGAGGAGGGGCCACTAGGCCCCAAGGCTCGGAGTTGAGCCTTTTGAGTGGTTTTGGAGGATGACGGGGTGGTTTGGGGAGTGGCTCAGAAGGGGAGGGGTCATCGGGGGGCTTAGGAAGAGGGAATTCAAATACGTCCCGCTTCTCCTCTTCTTCCTGGGCGCGAGGGGATAACAATCCCTGTCCTCCTACTCCTGCAGTCTGCAGTTGGATTTCCGACGGCGACGTGCAGACCCCCGGGCTAAGAGGAGCGGGAGCGGGGTCCTCCACCCCCGGGGACGGTGGGGAATTGAGATACTGCCGGGTCTTCTTGGTGCCCGAGGGCGAGGTGTCGGTGGTGATGATGATGACCTCCGTGCCCTTGGCCTTACAGGCGTCCAGCAGCGTGGCAAGGGTCTCGCGATCCCCGCGGTCCAGGGCGTGGACAAGCGCCGAGGCGCCAGCGTGATCTCGGACTGAAGGGTCTGCGCCATGGGCAAGGAGCAGGGAGGCCACCGCTGCGCCCCCGCCGCCGGCGCAAGCGTGCATAAGCGCCGTGCGCCCTAGGCGATCTGCGATGTTGGGGTCCGCGCCTTGCTCCAGAAGGTAGCGTACCATGCGCGCCTTGTTCTGGGGGTCGTCGTAGCGGGCCCGACAGGCCGCCATTAGCGCAGTCTCCCCTTGGGCATCACCCTCATTCACGTAGGCGCCCCCCTCCAGAAGCAAACGGGCCAAGCGTAGCTTACCCTGACCCACGGCCCGAAGAAGAGCGTGGCCCTCGGTGTGCAGCATAGCTGCCGCTGGGGCGAAAGCACCGATGGAGCCGGGACTGGGACCTGCCGAGGATGGCTAGGGGAGTGGGGGTGGTGGCTGGCAGAGGCCCGAAGGCTCAGTGGCGAAGCCAATCCCTGCAAAAAAGAGAAAGATCTTATTTATTGATTCAGGCAGGGAAACTGAGGCACTGGTGGAAGGATCGGCGTGGGGCAGGGGAGATCTCCCCGGCACTGCACACAGTCCTTCTTCTAACTCCTGCCTTGAGCCGCCCCCATCCCCCCAGCGCATGCCTGAGGAGGTGGGAAGGGTGCACCCGCACTGAAGGACGAGCGCCAGTGCAAATGCGTACGTGCACGCGCAGGGATATCCGCACCGCCACCCTCACCCCACGGCTTATCAGACCTTTCCAGCATCCCCCTTTTCTTATCCGTACTTGGAATCCCCCTTCCTAGGATGCTGAACGCCGCCCCCCCGACACACATGCACCCATACATTCACACACAGTCCCATTCCTAACCTCTTTTAGGTTGCCACAGCCCCACAAACTGAATGGGGGGAGGGAGGCAGCTTGCGTTTGGGACCTAAAACGGGTAGGGGGAGAATTGCGGGTTTCTTTTGCCCCTGCTACATTCCCCATCACTCCTTGCTCTTTCCCCTTCCCAGGCTGTGCACCCAAATAGATACCTGTAAGTCCGCAGAATCTCCTCCGGGCCAGGACTGAGGCCAGGGCCACGGGGCAGCTGGGGTGGCGGAGCCGGGTTCCTGGTGGCCCACATGGCGTGGGGGTGGGCACCCGGATTCCCTGGGTGTCAGTATCTGCGCCCGGGCACAGAATCCTGGTCCCTCCTCCCGGTGCGCCCCGGGCACAGCGCCGGCTCGGGAGGAGAGAAGCTGGGGGGGGGGCGGAGCTCTGCCTCTCTATTTATAGCCTAGTCTCTGAGGGTGGGGGCGTCGGGCACCAAACCGTTACCCCACTCATGCACACATAAACCCTCAAAAGCTAGAGGCTCCAATCCTGACTTCCCTTGCTTAGCCGACCTCCCCTCAGTCACAACAAACCTAAGTGTTCCTTAGGAGACTCCTCCGCGACCCAGACTGGGACCATCCTAGTTCTTCGTTGAGCTTCAGCAGATCCCCATTCTCCGAGCTTGGTGTGTTGATGCGCGCCTGTGCGCCACATCTGACCTGCCACACACAGCACATGGCACACTGTGCAGAGGGGTGGAGAGAGGCGATGGCGATCCACAGCCGGGGTCCTTACTGTGCAGAGCGAGGCAAGAGTTGTGGCTGCCTTCTCATAGTTCAAATGTCAGGGGGAGCTGGAGTCACACAGCGATACATCTTCATTCCACCTCCCCCAAAACGGACCATGTACCACAAATAAACTTGGACCTCAGCTCCCTTGTACAGACCTCTTAGATAAGTATGAAGAGGTTGGATATCTGGGATCATTTTTAGATACAGCAAGGGGCATTCCCAGTTGTCTCCTCTCCATATTCTTGGAGGGGTGGGAAGGAGAGAGATAGAAAAGGGGCAGAGAAGAGTGAACCTTGTAACACACCCTCTCTCATTGCATCTCTTTACTCTCAGTCTTGCTTAGAATCATTATTTTTCCATCTCACTTAAAGGTCTCTGTTTGAATCGCTCCTTAAAGTCTTCTCCCTGTCTGTAGCAGTCGGTTTCTCTCACTGTCTGTCTCTGCCTCTCCTCACCATCTGCCCTGTCTCCATGGTTACCATAGCTTCCATCTGCATATTTTAGGAATGAGTTTGTGTCCAGCTGGAAGGCATCAGGGGGAGTGGGAGGGGGAGTGAGGAAAAAAGCCTAAGGATTTGGAAAACTCACCTGAGGTAATTCAGAGGCTGGAGGCCACCAGACACAAGATACAATGTTCCTGGAGAAGGGGGAGAGAGAAATATTTGCAGGGAAGCTACCCAATTTTACCAGCTGCCATTTATTGGAAACCAACCATGTGCCAAGTACTTTACATACATTATCTCCAATCCTCACAACAACACTATAAAGTGGGAATTATTTTCTTGTTATAGATGAAGAAACTGAGACTTAGCAAAGTTAAGTAAGTTCTCCAAAGCCTCACAGCTCTGTTTCTGTCCTATTGCAAAGACTTTGTGCTTGCCACTCCACCTACAGCCTTCCCAGTCCAGAGGCTTCACTCCCAGGGCCATTTTCTCTGACGTCTGGGTTATTGTTCTTAACTAACTCCTAGATTCTATCTCTACTCTGAACTCTTTCCCTCTGTTTGTTTTTTGCGAAAGTGGGACTCCTCCTCCCACCGTGCCCCCTTTTACCAAGGGCTAGGAGGAACTGGAAGGCAGTGGGAAATGCAGGAAACACTGGATTCCTTCCCTGTCTCCTCAACTCTGGTTATCTGATTCCTAATCCTTCCTTTCCCAAACCCTCTTTCCATCTTCTCACAGACATGGCAGCAACCCACAGGAAAATATTTTTCTAGAAAAGAAATATTCATTGGTGGTGCTGGAGGGAGGCAGTGCAGGATTGAAGGGAAGGTTGGAGTAAAGAAGGAGAGGCCCAGTGTGAAGACAGAGTCACAAAAAGAACGACGCCTAAGAAGCAGGTTTCACAGAGGTTCATTTCTCTGTGTAAGCTCCCTCAACAGAGTCCCTCGGTGAGATGTGAGAGTCAGGTTCCCTCTGTGAACTGTCGCTAGCCAAGGGGATCCTCCATCTGAGATGAGGTGTGAAATGACTGACCCTTGGTTGATTCTGCAACTCCATCTCTCTCCTCACCCGGCTTCTCTAGCCTGAGTTCCGGCGAGCTCTCTCCCTCCCTCCACTCCTCAGTTTCAAGTGGGCGGACCTCCCTCCTCGGCTTCTCCAAGATTGGCCGGGAGAACTCACCAATGGGGAGCTCTGGGAGGCGGACCTAGAACGCCAACAGCTTGAGGAAGACCAGCGAATTTCAAGTTGGCTGCGGCGTGTTTTCCGCGTGGGGGAGGGGCAGCAGGTAAGGCCCCGACTTGGTGGCTCTGACCTGGTTCCGTTCCACACCTTCCGAACTAGTTCACCAAGGCCAAGTTGCTAGATAGACAACGCTTTTCGGCAGCCTGTTGGATCAGCCCGCTTCTAGTTCCCTACCCTTTTCCTCTGGGCTCCCATTGCTCTGTTGATTTTATGCCAGAGAACCGTAGTTTTCTTTCGCGCAAAGGGGAGATTTATTAAAGGAGACAGTGAAAGACTCACTCTGGTACCTCTGACTCTTTGCTATGGGGTCAGCTTCCCCTAAATCTATTACTGTTAAGAGCCTGACAAACTCCTGTTATCTATCAAGACTCTGATGAAATGTTACCTTTACCTGTAGCTTTCCTGGTTCACCTTTTTTTGCAGAATTAATTGTTCCCCAGTCTGACGATAGCATTGTAGGCATACCTCTGTTGGAGCACTTAGTGCTCAATCCCTCTTTGATGTTTCTATTCTTTTTAGAATATAAGGTTTTGTAGGGCAGGTTCTAATATTTAATACACAGTGCCCAATAAAGGTTAATTGGGTGGAATTAATTGGGGAGGAAGAATTTAAACTCCGATGTAATTAGGGAAAAATTAATAAAAGATAAAACAAAATACAATACAGTATATAATTATGACCTCTTAAATTAGTGTTTCATAATATAATTGCTCCCACAGTCCAGAGAAGGGAGAAAGCTAAGAGGACTGGGATGGTGAGGGGAGGCTTTAGGAATCACAAAGTCTTAAGTTTGGAACAGACCTTAGAAATCATATATTCATTCATTCATTCATTTTTAAGCAAATATTTATTGAGCATCTACTATATGCCAGACATAATGCTAGACAATGGGGATCATAGTGAATCCTCTACTTTAGATATGCATTCTTCCTTTGATAAACCATATTTAGTAAATGGTTATCCAGCTTCAGTTTAAACTTCTTAGTAAAAGAACTTCCTATCTCACTTTGTTCTTCAATCAGTATCTAACAAATAAAACAAATACGTGGCTCAACAAAATGCAATCCACATTTCCACTGTAAAAGAGGAAGAGCTGTCCTAGTGGTAACATTCTTAAAGATAAAGAAAATCATCCCTTTTGTTTTCTGATTATAGAAGTAATATACATTTATCCTAGAAAACTTGGAAATACATAAAGGTATAAAATATCTATTATTTCATGACCGTGATATAGTGTTATTATTTTAATATGTATCCTTTCAAGTTATTTTCTGCTTGTATACATATGTATACATCTGTGTGTTTATATTACACACATAGGGCCATACAACAAGTGCAACTTTATATCATGCTTCCCCCACTTTACATTATATTGTGAACATTTTCTGCCTTTAAATATTTTTTGAAATAATTATTATGTCTACATAATGGTCTAAGATGGATGTTTGATTTTTTTTTAACCATTCATTTTTTTTGTTGGACCATTTAGGTTATTTCAGAATTTGTGCTACCATGGATAGCTCTTTGATAAACATGCTTTTACTTATATCTCTGACTATATATCTGATGATTTCTTTAGGATAAGTGTTTAAAGTGGGATTACTGGGTTGAGGATATAAACTTTTAAAAGGCTGTAGATTCAAGGGGTCAAATTGCTCCCCCAAAAGACTGTGTTTATAGTCCTTCCAGTAAGGTATGAGAGTGTCCATCTCAAAAAAACCCGTGGCAGCCTGATTATTTTTTAAATCTTTGTCAATTTGATAGGTAAAGAATGGTTTTATTGGCTATTCTTTTCTTAATTGCCTATTTGCACATTTATTCTATTCATGTTCTTTGCACATTTATTCTACTGGGGTGATTTTTTTTCGTTTGGATTTCCATGAGTTCTAATATGAGTGTTAACTCCTTGTCTTATTTATTACAAATATAGCAAACTGTAAATATTAGAGTGCTCCAGGCCTCAGTCCCTGGATCTCTTCTTTCCTCTCTTCACATCCACTCCTTTAGGAATCTCACCCAGTCTCATGGCTTGAAACATTTGTATACTGAGAACGCCACTAGAATGTAAGCTCCATTTAAACTCCATGGGTGCAGGAGTTTTTTGTCCATTTTGCTCACTGATACATCCCTAGCACTTAGAACAGTGCCTGGCACTTAATAAGAACTCAGTAAGTATTCATTGAATGAATTTAGATGGTTTTTAAATTATTATTATTCCCATTTTACAAATAAGGAAACAGGTTTACAGTTATTAAATAAATTGCTGAAGGTTGTATAGCTAGAAAATGACTGAACTGGGATTCAAATCCATGTTCTTAACTACTACATGTACTGCCTTTCTTAAATTTGATGTAATTGTTTTTCTGTATGTTCTGTTGAAACCTGCTTCATAGTAACTTCTACCACATCACACAGTTATGCTTAATTGGGAATGAGTATAATGTATATGAGATGTTGTTGTTTGCAGGGGAAGGAGAGTACAGGGGTCAACACTAGGGAGGGTTGATGTTTATGGAGGAGCAGTCTGGGACCAGGTTATGGGAAACCTTAAACATCTTCAAGAATTTAGACTCAATCACAATCTTAAATAGAAGAGACTCATTGTAGATTCCTGAGCTGAGTGGGGTACAGATAGTTTACAGTTTCCCAACCAGTTTAGTGCCTTAATTAACTAAAGTTTTGTCTTCTTTTTACCCCACATCCTTGAGGGTCACTTGGTTAGTATGTGGAAATGGAGTTAGATTTGTCTAACCTGAAAGCTCATGGCCTTTTCTTAACTCCTCACTGCTTTGCAGTCAAAACAGCTCCTGTGTCCACTGCTAGAACTGTATCTATCAGGTGGAAAGACATCTAAGCTGTCTACTTAGAGTGTCTTTTCCCTTGAAAGGGCCTGAAGACATGGTGGCAAATTCTTTCTACTTCTCTAGTGTCCATAAGACATCCTCTCTCCTCTAATGTGTTCTTTAAGTCAGATCACAGTTTAATCTATTAACTAACAGCCATCTTTTCCTGACATTTTTCTTGGCACTTGGACTTGAAACTTTCCAAATTCCTCAGGCACACATTTTCCCACCTCTCCTTCCTGCTGCATATTATTAATCTCATCTACTATGCTGTTTTACTATATTTTTAATTTTTTAATGAATATTTTTCTCTTATTACAAAAGCAGCACCTATTCAGTACAGGAAAAAAAACCCATAAAATACACATCATCAAAAAACCCCCAAAACCCATCACCTCCAATTAACCAATGTTAATTTTTGCTGTATATCCTTCAAGAACAACTTTTAATTCATATATCTGGGTGGGTGTATGTGTTTGACAAAACAGATTACCTGGTACATATTTTAAAATCTTTTCTTCCCCTAACTAATCTTTAGTGGAGTGCATTTTGTTGAGCCATGTATTTCTTGTTTTATTTGTTGAATATTGATTGAAGAACAAATATCCAAAAATGGAATGACCTGCAAAGTGAGAGAGGGAGTTCTCTTACTAAAAAGTTTAAATTGAAGGTGGATAACAATTTACTAAATATGGTTTTTCAAAGGAGGGATGCAGGTCTAAAGTAGAGGATTCAATATGATCCCCATTGTCTAGCATTATGTCTGGCATATGGTAGATGCTCAATAAATATTCGTTGAAAGAATGAGTGAATGAATACATGATATCTAAGGTCTGTTCCAAACTTGAGACCTTGTGATTCCTAAAGCCTCCCCTCACCATCCCAGTCCTCTTAGCTTTCCGTGGGAGGAATTATATTATGAATCACTAATTTAAGAGATCATAATTCTATACTATATTTCTCTTGTTGCTCCATAGCTAACATATTTTTAGTATGTTCCCTTAATATGAAGTGATGAAAATGGCTCTTCATCTCTGTGATCTTCCTCCCTGAAACACACAACCCCGGTCTAATCAAGAGAAAAACATCAGAAAAATTCAAACAGAGGAACATCCTATAATACACCTAACCAGTACTCCTTAAAACTGTCAGGGTAATGAAAGACAAGGAACGTCTGAGAAACTGTGAATTTTGAATTGCTACTCAAGTTTTTTGCTTTTTTTTAATTAAGAAAATTTATTTCTTAAAACAGTTTTAGATTTTCAGAAAAACTGAGCAGATAGTACCGAAAGTTTCCATATGCCCTGGCACCAGTGTCCCCTATTATTAATGTCATATATTATTATGGTATATTTGTTACAATTAATGAACAAATATTGATACATTATAATTATTCAAGGTCCATACTTGATTTGGAGTTCCTTAGTTTTACCTAATGCTCTTTTTCTGTTCCAGGATCCCATTCAGGATACCACATTATATTTAGTTATCATGGCCCTGTTATGTATTGAATATGTCTATACATACATATACTTACATGCACAAACATATATGTTTATGTATGTATACATACATAACTAAAATTGAAAGGATCCATATGCAAATACTAAAAATGATTATTACTACATCATGGTCATGAAATAATAGGTATTTTTATATATACCTTTATGTTTTTCCAAATTTTCTAAAATAAATATATACTACTTCTATAATGAGAAAACAAAAGGAATGGTTTTCTTTGTTTTTATGAAGGTCACCGCTAGGACAGCTCTCTCTCTTTTACAATGGAAGTGTGACCTTTCCTTGTTTTTGATGACCTTGACAGTTTTGAAGAGTACTGGTCAGATATATTATAGGATGCTCCTCTGTTGGAATTTGTTGGCTTTTTTCTCCTGATTAGACTGGGGTTATCAGTTTTGGGGAAGAGGATATCACATCATATTAAGGGTACATACTAACAATATGATTTAATTTTGTTCATGTTGAAACCTTGGTCATCTGACTGAAGTAATGCTTGTCCAGTTTCTACACTGTAAAGTTACTCCCCCCACCTTTCCAAAATTGTTTTGGACAAAATTCCCTATACACAGGCCATACTTAAGGCGTGGGGAATTACACTCTCCCTTTTTGGGGTGGAATCTACATAATTTATTTGGAATTCTGCATGAGAAATTTGTTTTTTTCTCTACCACGTATTAATTTGTTCAAACGTTTATTTATATCAGTATGGTCTCTTGGATATTTATTTTATACTTTGGTGTTATAATCCAATACTACTTTATTGCTCAAATTGTTCACGCTTTGGCCATTGGGAGCTCTTTCAGTCGACTCTTATGCCCCTTTGACACAGCCCCATCAATGTGTGTGTTGTGGTTTTGAGCACTTTCTTACTTTCTGGCACTACAAGATGCTTCAGGCTCATCTTGTATGTTTCCTGCCCCAGTCCTAGAATCGGCCATTTCTCCAAGAAGCCCTGGTTCCTTTTATTGAAAAATGGTATTAGGAGCCAAGATCTGGGTGCTAGGTATCTTCCCTGCTACTGGGATTTCATTTCCTTCAAGTTTCATTTTCATTTGATGACTTTCTTTATCCCCCATGCTCTCTGACTGGCTTCTCAAAAATAATGAGAAGAGGCAAAGTTCAGTTACGGTAGCAGGAGGAACTTTCAGTTCATCTCCAGTGGAATGGGCTGTCTTGGAGGAAAATGGACACCCTCTCCTTAGGAAAATGCCACCAGAAGCTGAATAACCAAAAACTTACAGAGGGTAGTACCGTACTGGGAGGGTGTTTGGGCTAGAAGACTCCATGGGTCCTTCCATTCTAAGATTCTGTGTTTCCAGGTGGTGTTTAAAAAGATCAACTTGATTGTAATGGCTCTTATCACATACATCTCCACTCCCAATCAAATGACAGTGAGACTGATGACTCATTCCTGTTCCCTCCCAGTGTCTGGCACACTACCTTTTTCATGGTAGATGCTTAATAAATGTTTTGTTGAAATGCATTGCATTAGATTGAGTTTAGGCCTGGTTGGGTTTGGAAAGTGAGGGAGAGAAAGAATTCAAAGATCATATGTAGATATGCAGATGGTGATAAACGTCAAATTAACTTAGGGGCTTAGGAAAGTTTTATCCAAGGGTCTAGTCACTTTCCTCATTGTGCTACAGTCACACCATATTGCAATCATCTGTCCTGTTGGAACCGTGTCTCATCCATATTTTATATTTTTAGAAATACCTTGCTTGGCACTATGCCTTCTCAAAATTTGTTGAATTAAACTGGCTTTTCAGGTCTCTGGGAGAAAAGATTGAGTGTCTTGTACCTCCCTGGCTTTCTGTCTGTTCTACTGTACTTTTTCTCTGTGTTTTTGTCTTTATCAGGTTTTTCCTATTGGATGTCTGAATCCCCAGGCCCCCTCCATCATGGCCAGCCGGGGTGGGGGCCGGGGTCGTGGCCGTGGCCAGTTGACCTTCAGCATGGAGGCTGTGGGCATTGGGAAGGGGGATGCTTTGCCCCCACCCACCCTGCAGCCTTCTCCACTCTTCCCTGTGAGTGTCTGCCCTCCTTTCCCAAGACTCCCATATGCCCCTGGCTGACTGTGTATGATCCTGGATTCCTCCTGAGCCATCATAAAATCATCCTCATCTTGCCCCTCCCTGTCTGTATACTCCCACCTTATATGGGATGTTTTCCAGACAAGGAAGTGTCTACCCTCACTTTTTACATTCTCAGCTCCCCAGCTTTCAAAATGCTGTGTTGCTCCACCCATTTGCCTTGGTCCTCTGCTCAGTGGGAGCATTGGATTGAATTGTGGGGAGAGGAGAGGCCCTCCCAGATTTGTACTCCAGCATTTTCTCTCTGAATTGACCATTGCCTCTGCCTCCTTAGCCCTTGGAGTTCCACCCAGTGCCTCTGCCCTCAGGAGAGGAAGGGGAATATGTCCTGGCACTGAAGCAGGAGCTTCGAGGGGCCATGAGGCAGCTCCCCTACTTCATCCGGCCTGCTGTCCCCAAGAGAGGTCAGTTGGAATGCTAGTATCATGTTCTGAGTGCCCTCCATGAGTAGTGCCCTATACTTAGCACCGCTGGGGCCCAGAGAGGCCAGAAGAGGCACAGAAAGCTCACTGCCTAACTGGGGAGATCACAGTAATTACCCCTGCATTTGAAATGCATTATGGTATCCATGGTTTGTTTTGAGTCTCACAGAAGTCTTGGACAGTAGGAGGTTAAGTATTAAGATGCCCATTTTACAGATAGAAATGAGGAGATGTATTAAAATTTTTAACAATCTGGATATTGCAGGTACCAACCAATCAGAAGAACTTGAGAAGGGGTGTCTGAGAAGCCCTGTAATTAAAATATTACCCCTTTGGTTTGTGGATCATGAGAGGTCAGGGAGCCAGGAGGGACTGGAGTACAGGATGTACTTAGGAGGTCTGGGATAGTGGATATTTACCAACTGGTGTGGAAGTACAGTATTTCAATGTATTGACAACCAGTGCTTTCCTACTAAGCCCTAGAAGCTAAAGTTCAGAGAGATGAAACAATTGCCTAAGTTAGTCCCATTAACGAGGAGTAAAGGGAACACTGAAACCCTCGTTTCTTGCTCTAGTATACTTTCCACTGTACCACACTACCAGTCAATATAGCCATGCCTTTGCATTAAGGGAGATAACAAAAACATTGTAATTTGAGGTCGCAAAAGGACAGGTTAGAAGAGTGTTGAAGGTCCTCATGGAAGCTGACCCCCTGGGCTCTGGGTCTGGGGTGAGGAAAAAGACAATTTCTGAGTTTTGAGAGGGCTGGACCTCAGGAAGAACCCTGTTCTAGGGCTCTGAAAGGATAAAACTTTGACCCTTGACCTCTGATCCCTCAGATGTGGAGCGTTACTCAGACAAATATCAGATGTCAGGGCCGATTGACAACGCCATAGATTGGAACCCTGGTAGGTGATGGGCCCTTTCATTGACCTCCCTTCTTTCAAATGCTTGAGATGCCTCAAGCCACAAGCCACCACCCTGTCCACCCTCCTCTGTCTCCACCTTCACCCTATTCAGGAGCCTTAGATGTGCTCCAAAACACTCTCAGACTCTACCTAAAAACCTATTAAATGGCCCCCACTCCTCTGGAGGCATCCAAGCCACAGTTTTGTTCCAAGCAGCTTTGACCCAGCCCCTTCCTTCCTCACCCTTAACCCTGATCCTTACCTGTCCTTTCAAAGAGTCCTCATTCATAGGACACCCCAGGGCAGAGTCTTGCTGACTTTTTCATTCCCGCTATTCCTAGATTGGCGACGTCTACCCCGGGAGCTAAAGATCCGAGTACGGAAGCTACAGAAGGAGCGTGAGTGTATCTGGAAAAAGGAGGGAAAGGAGAGGTTTCCTTCATCAGCTGTAGGGCCAAGGCTGCTGGTGGTCTTGCCTGCCCTCCCAATTCCTACCTACCCAGTCTACCCAGTATTGTTGCTGGGTGCCACGGTGGCCACATGAGGGCAGCAGAGTGACATGGTCTATGCAAGAGGGTGGGGTAGAAAGCCATCTAGGAAGTTTGCTCTGATGGTTCACCTTTTGATCCTCTCACCAGGGACCACCATTCTACTCCCCAAGAGGCCCCCTAAGACCACAGAAGATAAGGAGGAGACAATACAGAAACTAGAGGTAAGGAAGAAATGTGCATAGAGAGCACCTGGGCCCCAGATTCATTCCTCCCCTTTGGCCCATGTGTGCCTCAATTTTTCCCTTCGGTGAGCTGAGTTTCTCTTCCTATTCATCCTCACATAAGACCCTGGAGAAGAAGGAAGAAGAAGTGACTTCAGAGGAAGATGAGGAGAAAGAAGAAGAAGAAGAGAAGGAAGAGGAAGAAGAAGAGGAGTATGATGAAGAAGAGCATGAAGAGGTGAAGGGGACCTCCTTTCATTCTCAGGCCCCCTTTCTTCCACGCATAAGCTCTGGGGATCTCAACTTCAGAAGGCTGGAGGGCCAAAGGAGATAGTGCCTCCAAAGGATAGCGCCCTCCACTTTACCTGTCCCTAGGCTCTTCTCAGGAGTGAACTACAGCTTGAATTCAGAGAGAACTATAGGCTTGGAATGCTGCGATTGGGAGGGAAGGGGACTGGTGCACAGGGATGAAGGAGAATGCTGAAAGCATGCCGACATTCCTTCCTTCTTCCCTCCTTTCCTTCTATTTCAGGAAACTGATTACATCATGTCATATTTTGACAATGGAGAGGACTTTGGGGGTGACAGTGATGACAATATGGATGAGGCTATATACTGAAGAAGGACTCTAAACAATACCCTGGACGTTCATATCTTTCTTGATTTAGGACACAGAGAGTAGCTGTCCCCTATTATTAGGTTTTGTGGACAAGCAAATCATTTGCTCAGAATCCAGATAACCTGTTTGGTCCCTGGAGATAGGAATAGAGAGTGACAACAGATAGCTCTCTTTTCTACCCTTCCCCTCCCTCTCTCCTGTGGTATTGTATCACCTCTGATATCTTGGGGAAAGGACAAAGGACCAATGTCTTAATTGTATGAAAGTGAGAAAGGAGGGTCGAAAGAAGGACTGGAATCATTAGAGCTGAGACAGCTGTGCACATGCCCCTACCCATTTATAGTTCTTTGTGGAGATAATTGGGGGTGCGAGCAGTTAGGAGGAATAAGGCCAGTTTTATATTTTTAAATAAAATGTTTTTATCTGTCTCTCTGTCCAGGGTGAAGCCTAGTGGGAGAGGGCTGGAGGAATGAAGGGGATGCCTAGTAAGCCATTCTTCTCTCCTCACCTGTTAAGAGTCCAGTGTGACACACTGGGGGTTACAGCCTTCCTGTCCTTTGCCCCTTCCCTCCTACCCCCATGGTGGGACACCTAATCCCCATCTAGCTCTGCCAAGGCACATTCAGGAGCTCATCTGCAGGGCTGCGCAGAGAGAGCTGTATACAGCCCACGCCCTGAAGACCAGCTGGCTTCTGGGCTTCTGGTCCTCAGGCAGTGGGGACGACATGATTCACGTGTGTTCACATGTGTTCACAGGGACACAGGCCCTCACTTTCCCACGCTTGACCTTGATCTTGTCCTTGTTTACAAGGAATGATTACAATTATTTTTGTGGGGAGAGTCAAGAAAGCCAGGTGTGGGGAGGAAATAGGGAGGAAGTGCCGATTCTTCTTCAGCACACTCGCCCTCTTCCAGGCCCTGGAGACCCCACTTCGAAAGGTGTGTCTGTGAAGCAGGAGCCCCCTAAATATCCTATTCTCCACTTCCGGAAGCTGCTGTGTGGCTGAGTTTCAGTTTCCCTTCTGTGGAATTTAGTTCTTCTTTTGTGGAGTTTAGTTAGCCTTTCTCTCACTCCCTTCTTGTGGGGAGGGGGAGGGGGTAGGCAGTGTTGCTTTACAGGAAGTAAGGAGGGTGCAGAGGAAGGGGGTGACTTAGGGACACTCAGCTCTGAGAGGTGCTTTCTCACCCACACAGTTCTCCCTTGGGTGAGGTCACTTCCCTGGGCTCTGATTGGCTTCCGAGAAAGCCCTAGATGTACTGATTGGTTCCAGCCACTTGACATGCAACAGTCACGGGCAAGCTGCATGTCCAGAATAGGGACTGGATAAGGAGGCAGGAACAGATAGCTGGGATGCTGTCATAGCAACCTTACTAAACATTTGAAAGCCATGAAGATGGGATGTAGGAGAATCTTCAAGAAATTCCCCAGCCATATTCAGGTAGGCAGACTGAAATCCCTATGGCATCAAGTGATAGAGACTGGCAATCTAATGTTAGATACTTCTGACCCAATTGTAAAGAATGAATAGGGGCTGTGACTCCATTGAGGGAAAGCACCTTAAAAGCCTGGTTTGGGTGTGGTAGTAGACGTTAAGGTAGGAGCCAAGAGAACAGAGAAGGAAACAGGAATAGAAATAGAACATTCCAGAGTTATTGAGCAATTTGGATGATTGATGTGTTTCCTTTTCTAGTTCTCTGAGGTATTGTGTGAGTGGAGTAGGGGGAGGGGCCAGGGGACCTGTCACTGGGGTTTCCCGTAGTCACACTGTAGCCTGTGATTGTAGCTAGGGAGAAATTAGCAGAAAACAAAAATAAAAGACCCTGGAAAATCTCCTTTTACCTTTCTCCCCTGCATACACACACATACCAGACCTAATCTGGTTAACTATGTTTGTGTCTATGTTGGGGGCACAGTTGACCTCCTAAATCCCACCTAATGCCAGCATGTGTACTCAAAAGAGTGGGAACAAAGAAGATTCTAGACAAGAGACAGTAGAGGAGAACTGAACACACCCCTGCCCCCACCTCTATACACACACATCCTTTTCCCATGAAACAGGGGAAGGATAAAGGTTAGAGTGGCCTCTTGGGATCAGTTGTACTTCCTCAAAGACAAAGTGTCAGAGAGACCAGACCATTCTTGGACTCTTTCCTATCTGGCCTCCTGCCCTTCCTGGCAGGTGACCTTGCTGAACAAAGCCAGAGACAGGGGACCCAGCAGCTTCCCCAGATTCCGGAACAGTTCCAGGAATGAGCTAGACTGTTTCCATTGACCTTTCCCCTACTTTCCATAGGTTCTATTGGGCAGGCTGAGGCAGAAGCCTAAGACTCAGTAAATAGAGTCAGGGCTGCTAGTCCTCCGGAGGACCACCTGAAAGGGTAGAGGTCCAAGCACTACTTGCAAACATTTAGAGAGGCCCCACGTGGTTCTTGCTCAGCCCTGGACTGCGTGCCTGCTTATGTTGAATAGATTGCTCCCATGACCACAGCCTAGGCTGCTCTGGCCCCAGGCAGGGTAGGTTCTCAGTCAAGAATCCTGTCCTTCCATACCCCATGTTCCATCCCTAGCCTACTGGTCCCCTCCCACCTCGGGCAGGAAGCTTGAGATTGGGGTCTGCAAATTTAAGCTCAGGGACTCAAGTGATTTGAGGGAGGGCTGAATGAGAGACCTGGTTATAGCATGCAGTTTAGAAGATTGGGAGTAGAGACCAAAGAAAATTGGAGGGTCAAATATTGGGTGGACAGGACACCCATGGTTGGTGAGGTAAAGACATGTATTTTCCTCAATTCGTTTTTATTGCTGTTTGAACTTTGAAAGGAACGAAGGGTGGCTTGTAGGCCTAGGCTAGTTTAAGAACTAAGCCAAAGGGAAAAGCTGCCATCTCAACTGGGCAAAGCACTGGTTTATGGTTCTAGTTTCACCACTCCATAGCTTTGTACCCTTGGGAAAGTCATGTAGTCTCCAAGCGTCAAATTCCTCATGTATGAAAGAGAATTTGAGTTAGATGTCCACTAGGAAATCCTTCAAGCTGACGTTGATCCACCTGCAAGAATCCAGATGGTTCTGAGAACAAAGGTCAGGATGTGTCCAGCTTTTGCTGAATTCATTCCGTCTGCTGGATTTCCCCACCTTATTCTCAGCTGGGCAGGCTAAACATACCTCAGGCAACTAGCCAGTCCTTTCCAGGAACCTGCTTCAGCCCAAGTAGCAGAAGGATCAGCAAGTCCATTAACTAGCAAGGAAGGAGACACCCCTGCAGCAGAGTTCAAGGTCACGATCAGCAAGCCAGGACTCAAATCAAGCAGGCCACCAAGGAATTTCTGACTGAGGAAGGGGCCTGTGGGGCAGGTCCTCCCTATCTCCCCTCATGTAGCATGTCTGGCCAAAGAACAGAGAAGAGAAATGAGCTAGACAGGAATAGTTCAGTTAGCTAATCTGGCCAGACCAGTGGTGACCCTTTCTCCACTGACCTTTCCCCTACTGAGACTCACTTTTTCCCCAAGGTCATTTGGGACCAGAAAGTGGGAAATAACAAGTTCTAGTTTCCTAGTATCGCCTCAGAAAGTTATTTGCCTTATCCCCAACAGGACTTAATTTGCCATTTTGTACTCCGGAGGGAAGGGAGGTTCCCCCTGCAACTCTAATGGGAGTCAGTGGAAAGACAGTGATCCAACCCTAATTGCAGGACCTGAGAGGCTAAGTGCGATCACCCTGGGCACCCAAAATTTGGGGGGAAGGAATCCAGGGATTCCTCAGACCCAGTCCTGACCAATGCAGGGAGGGGCTATGCCCCGGTGACCTCTGACTCTGGGACTGTTCTTCATTTTCAAACCTCTACTCCTCCTGGAATTCTCAGCTGTGGGCTGAGGTTCCCAAGACTTGGATCCCTGCCTCTCCTTGAATCTTCTCCATTCTCTAATTCCATTTCCCTTGGTATAAAATAGACAAGGAGAAATATCCAAATCCTGTGTCTTACGTTCTCTGTTACACTCAGGGCAGTCTTAATAGTGCTAGAATAGGAAGGAGGTTAGACCTGTCTTTGCCTTACCCAAAAGGATTGGGGGGACAAACTAACCTGAGTCACGGACACAGATCTGGGATATTTCCTATCTTGGAGAGAATAGATGAAATCCCATGTGGACAGGGAAAGAAGCCCTGGTACTCATCCTCCTTATGCTCTGCTATGGCCAGAGAAATAGCCATTCTAGAGGGGAAATTCCGTCAACTAAGGAGGTCAAGGTAACTCTTTTACCTCATTTTTCTTGGGCAGAGATGGTAAGAGGATGTGAAACAAAGATGGGGTCAGTGAAAGGAAGGCCAAATGCTGACCGGTCCTTTTCTCAGCCCTCTGCTTCCTGTCTCCAAGCCTCTCTTTTGGCCCTTGGACAGTCTTTCTTGTCTGACCATACTTGGATGCTCTTGGGCCCTCACCTCTCCCTTACTTGGCTCCTGTTTTGAGACTTGCTTTCCATCCTGAGCCACCATTCTAACACCTGTCCAGAGCTATCAGGGATGTTTATAAACTTCTCAGGAGCTGGACTGGGCCAGGTCAGGAGGGGTGGCTGAGAGCCAGAAAGAGAGCTTGCCACTCAGACTCTCTTATTGTCTTTCAGATTCCTTTCCTTTTCTGACTCTCTAACCACGTCTTTCTTTCCATGTCTCTCTTTGCCTCATGTCTTTAGCATTATGCTACTTAAATTAGGTTATCAATGGGTGATGTGGTGAGGAATATTTGGAGCCACAGACTACACACCTTCCAGAATGTCAATTTTACTTTTAAGATTTGCTGGGGGAAGATAAATTATTCTTATACTAAAATTACACAAATATATTATGCAGTGTGAATCAAAATTTGCACTTTTTAAACATAAAACGGGTACTTCAAAGACATTTCTGGCTTGTGACAGGCTACTTTGGACTGTTCCAGAAGCCCGGGGGAAAATTCAGTTTCCCTAATCTTAGGGGTCCTTCAGAGGAAATATTTGAGAAGAAGCTCTACTTAGAGCAGAGGTGACAACCTAAGGCAAAAACCTTAACACCAGACAAGAGCCAAGGGTATAAAGGAGTGAAGCAGGTGAGTGTAATGCAATAGGGAGTGGTGAGAACTGGCAGATACAAGTCTGCCTGACCCTTTTAGCTCTAGCAGGTTGATGCCATGAAGGAATGTGGGCCCAGTGTTACCAAATGTGGTTGCTTTTTAAGGGAAGCCAGAACAATAGATTTTAGTGAGATCTGTTTTTTTAATGTTTACAACCAATTCAAATATTTAGGAAGAAGCTATACAAGTTTCTAAATGCCTGCAAGCTGATTCTACCTATGGGCCCTCGGTTTGCTGCCTCTGACCTCTATCAACATTTCTTCCACTTCCCAAAGGTGTATGTGGCCCAAATCTGGACTTCCAAGGTCTCAAATTCTGTTCCCAAGAGC